ACAAATTGTACTTTAACATTCTTCTGGGACGGGACCACCTGGATGTTGGACAGGGACCCCATCTCTTTCCTTAATCACAGCAAGAATAGCACTCAGTTCACCCTATAAACTCTCTTTTTACAATACCCTCAGGGTCTTCAGACCCCTAAACCCCTCATTATAACTACTTTGCATATCTTACAAAAGCCCAAACCTCTACGCCTTGACTCGGGCTTTTGATGGTTCTGTGGCCTTAAAGCTTTTAAGGTTTAACCCCCTGATTGGGAAGGCGCTTGTACTATTGGGTGGTTGTGGCCTGGCGGGATGCATCCCCGTGAGGTTTCCGTTATCCATTATTCCTCTTGCTGCACACATCAGGCAATTAGGTCTCTATCTAAACCTTGGAAATGGTCTATCGGTACCCTCCTCGGTCGCGCCTTTTCCCCATCTCTCGGAGTAGCCCAAAATTACAGGGATTTACATATGCTAGCTGATTTTGTTTATAATATCTCTGTTGCCCTAGAAACCCTTGAAAATGTTACAGCGGATATCCAATACCGCTTGCAAACGGAAATCATTTCTGTTAAAAATATGGTCCTTCAGCACCGCTTAGGTATAGACATTATGCTTTTACAACAGGGTGGGTTATGTGCATACATTAATGAAACTTGTTGCATATTTCATGATGAACAAAAGGGTTTGATTCTGAACCATGATGATCTTGCTACTTTGGTCCGCAAGCACCAGCTTGACCGCACATGGACTTATGATGCTTTCAATGCTGGCAACTGGGAAAACTGGGACTGGAGCAAACTTACGTCTTGGCTTCCCAATCTCTCTACTTTTAAGAATATAGTTGTTGGTATAGTTCTCCTTATTGTTACTGCTCTTTTAGTTGTCATTTTTGCCAAACTTCTAACTGTCACATCCTCTTTTTGCCCCCCCCTGCCCCCACTCCTGCGTTCAATCCATGTCCTCCCCTAAAGTTAGTGGTTTAAATTCCACCATCTTACTGTTGTCAGAATTTAAAAAGGGGGGAGTGATAGGGGGCTATCATTGAATTCTCATGTAACACATGCAGAGCACAATCCTTTACCATATGACTTAACCTTCGTATATAATATTCTAGTTTAACATGCTATTATATCTAGTTTCACATACTGTTATATTGCCTTATAATATTGTATTGATTCATACGTATCAGTGTTAGTGTATCCAAATGTACTTCATATCCTATACCTGTACTTTGTATAATTTTATGTGAATGTTAGAATTGCTTTCTGTATCCCGGAATCCTTGGACCTTGATCAACTCTCCTGACCTCTGTGCCAGCAAGCTCTCACATTGCATTGCAAACTCTTAAAACAGGGCATTTCTGCATATCAAAGCATAGTAGATCCAATGGCTTCTCCAACCCAGACTACAGGAAGAGATATCACACCACAATTAGGAAATATTTGAGTTTCGTTTCCCAAACAATTGAGTTTCGTTTCTCAAAACAATCCCTGACAATCACACTTTTCTCTCCAGTGAGCACAGTTATTTAGAAGGCTAGTTTCGTTTCCCAAACAATTGGGTTTCGTTTCTCAAAACAATCCCTCCAGTGAGCACAGTTATTTAGAAGGCTATTTGGGGAGATAAATGGGCACAAATGGTATGTGATGGTATGCTTAGGGAGGAAGAAAAGCCATCTACATTTTGACACCACCAGAAGAATTACCATTCTTGGAGGCCATATATTGAGGCCCAGGAAGGCCCAGGAAATGCTACATAAACATACCAGAGAGATAAGAAGAACCTAGGCACATCCTCTGCAGACTCATAGACTCTTTTAGGGTATATCATGACCCTGGGTCAAGGGGACATGGGGGCACAGTATGGATATTCAACTATAATAAGGTTAGGTCCATGGAACATCTTCGGCCAATGGACAGGAGGGTCCAGATTTTTAGGTTTAAGGAACCAATCAGGGTATTCCCCTTTATGGTCCTTTCTGTAAAACCCTATAAAATACCTATACAATTTCTGATCGGGGCTCTTCTCTGCTTTTAGGTTCAAGGAACCAATCAGGGTATTCCCTTTTACGGTCCTTTGTGTAAAACCCTATAAAATACCTATCCAATTTCTGATTGGGGCTCTTCTCTGCTTTTAAGACGAAGGGCCCTAGCTGTGCTTATCAATAAAGATTGGCTTTAATGGCAGCTGGTTTTTGTGCATCTTAGTCTGTCGTCTTCGCCGGAGAATTGGACCCTAATTTCAGGGTTAACACTACCAAACATAGTGGGATTTACTTCAGAGTAAACATGCACAGGGTTGCATTCTTGTACTCTTGCTAGTAATTCCCTTGTAGAACCTTGTGCATAACCCAAGCAAAAGATCCAGGTAACATTTTCTCCGGTTTTCACTTTGGATGAGTTCATACATTCTTGTTAATGTCTCAGTTGATTGAAAACACTAAGGGAAGGTAATGTTAGACTCTAGACTTTAAAACTTTATAGGCCTCTTCTCTGTTGTCTTTAGATGGCACTCCTTAACTTCAAACTACATTCATCTATTTCAAATGGTCTTGCAGTGAGACCTCTTGTTCACATGGGATTGCATCTAAATTCACTTCACTTCCTAATTGGTAAGCCAACCCTGCTGCCTTTAGATAGTCTCTCTGCTAAATCTGCTGAATGGAGCCACAGATTTCTGCACCGAAGTCCTGTCCTGAAGACACCACTATCATTCTGCCTTCTTTCTGAACATAACCAAAGCTGTTTTCTGCTAAACTTTAGGAATGGTGTTCAAACATCTGTGAAGCATCAATGAAGTAGTAAGTAGTCTGCCTCTGTTGTGACCTTGAGTAGTCATGTTGACGTGGGACAATTCTGTTTGTGAGTTGTGGTTATGTGCCATCAAGCTGCCTCCAACCTATGGTGACCCTATGAATGAGCAAATCTCCAAAATGTCTTGTCCTTAACAGCTCTGCTCAGCTCTTCTAGAGAGGAAAATTAATTTCTAGCTGTATGCGATAATTCATTCACAGACATATTTCCCTACTCAAACAGAGACAACTAGAGAAAGAGTTTGCTTGCTTGCTTGCTTGTTTTCTGGCATTGGATCTTATGATGCAAGTATGGGAACTACGTGACCCACATACAGTGGGGTCTTGACTTAAGAACGGCTTGAGTTAAGAACATTTTGACTTAAGAACCACTCTCATAGATCTTATGATCAAGGTATGGGAACTATGTGACCCACATACGTTGTTGGACCATACAGTACTTCCCATAATATTTTACCATAAGCTACATTGGAGCAATAGGAGTTTAGTCCAGAGTCCAAAAACATACAGCCACCTGGAAACCTGGGTCATGATCTGTGGTGTTTACCACATGGCCCCTGCTTGTTTCACCAAACAAAGAGCTCACGCCACGTATCCCACCAGCTGACACCAATTGTGACACAACCCTCATGGGTCCCCAGGTTGTTTCACTAGCCTGAGGCCCACGACACGTTCTCTCCTTTCTGCTGCCACCAGTTGACCTCTGTCAACGGAAAAGAGCAGATACGGATCAAATGGTTTTCAATGCATTCCTAAGGGAAATGCAGATTTGACCTGAGAACTTTTTGACTTGAGAACCGCCTTCCAATACGGATTAAGTTCTCAAGTCAAGACCCCACTGTATGTTGTTGGACCATACTTCCCATAATATTTTACTATAAGCTACATTGAAGCAATAGGAGTTTAGTCCAGAGTCCAAAAACATACAGCCACCTGGAAACCTGGGGCATGACCTGTGGTGTTTACCACGTGGCCCCTGCTTGTTTCACCAAACAAAGAGCTCACGCCACGTATCCCACCAGCTGACACCAATTGTGACACAACCCTCATGGGTCCCCAGGTTGTTTCACTAGCCTGAGGCCCACGACACGTTCTCTCCTTTCTGCTGCCACCAGTTGACCTCTGTCAACACCCTTTAATTAGAAAGATTGAGGTCCAAGCTGAGTATAAAGTTGAACAACACGGGTTTATTGATTACAGTTCGCTTAAACAGGTTCTTTACGGACTTCAGTGTATTCATTACAATAGCAATAACTGTTTCACTTTAACACTCTTAGCTCTCTCTAAGTTCCACACTCTTAACTGCCTCCTTTAACTCCTATGCCACACTATCTACCTACCACAGACTAATTTCTTCCTCAGACTCTCATCTCTGACTCTAACTGACTGAACTCCTTAAAAAACGACCAACCCCTCTTCTCTGACGCACCCCTCCCTTCTAGTTTCTCTGGCTCCACCTCCCAACAGCTCCCATTGGTGCAGGCTAATACCATTATATATATCAGAAGGCAAGGTGTCCACTACAACACCCCACAACATATTTTTTAAAATTCCAACAGCAACATCTGGAGACACCATACATTCCCCATGTTTGCTAGAAACTGATAGCAATTTCACACTTCTTGGGCATCCTTATGTTAGATCCTTAGCCAAAATGGCACCTTATGCAGAGTGCTTGGGAAGCTTGGAAATCTCACATTTTACAAAACTACAAAAAAAAAATCCTTTGTGACAAGCGTGTGCAAGAAGGCAGCAAAGGAAGGCCTCCTTTAAAAGCCCGATGCACAATAACCACAAAATACTGGCTGACTATTGGGACAGGAAAAAAAAGGAAACTGAGAAAGGAGTTCCAGTACACTGGATTCCTGACTTGGAGCACCATGTACTTCAACACTTTCAAGTAGGTGCTCGTATACTTGAAAGTATACAGTACCTACCCAAATCCTCCATGCTTCCCCTGTTAAAACATCAGTAGCAAGTGACATAGAAAGGTTGTATTGAAGTGACAGTATGGGAATGCATTTCAGTTGCAAAATTAAATAGTTGTACTATTGGTGACGTCCCACGTGCATGAACAGGTAGATCTGGAGGGAGGACTTCTCTCATTTTTTATAACTTCAGACTTACTAGACTCCCATTATCCTTCAAAACAAAACAATTTCTGCATAGGCCTTTGGAAACAAACCAAGCTTACCTAGATCTAGGTGAATTCCTGGAACAAATGAATTGAGAAAGAACATGAGGATAACAAATCCTAAAACAGTCAGGCATTTGATAAGAAGCATCCTATCCGTTATTCGGTGCTGTTGAGAGGGGGGAAAATACATAAACTAGGTTAACGGGGGAGGGGAAAACATCTGATACATATATTTTAAACTAGTATTCTTTCCTAAAATATAAGACAATGTTTCTATACTATACAGAAGAGTTCATTAAAATGACAGAAGAAAGGTCTGAATAATGAAAATAATATTTCAAATTCAAGAGGAAAATGTTTTATTTCTTGGTGTTAACACTATTTACAGTCTAAAGGCAACAAGGCAAACAAATTCAGTTACAGAAATAAAACCAGATGTTACCTCTACCTGTTACCAATGCTAGAAATTTAACACATTTTAAATTAATTTTTAAGGGTACCCAAAACAGTAGAGCTGGAATGCAATTTCTACAATAAACTGATGCCAGAGCATTTAGCCTAGTATCCTCCTGTCAGAGTTTCTGGCCATAATGAGCCATTGCACAAGCATTTCCAAGCAATATATCCCCACATCCACATAAAGGCTATGTGTGCAGTGTTGCAAAACTTATGTCACCACATGGCCCGTTAATGTTGTCCAATTGAATTGTGTTCCGCTGTTTTATAACTTCATCTCTTGCTCTCCGTGCAGCAGGGGGTATGCTGTCCAATTCTGAACAGAATACAAAGCTATGGGCTTGTCCAAACAAGGGAATTTGGGGTGGCCTGGACCATACTTAAAAGGTTCTCACCCTCAATGCGATCAATTATATCTCTCATATGAGTTACCCTGCCATTCACACCGGAGATATATTTTTTCTCCTGTGAGAACAGTCCACACAAGTCTTTGGATCACCGATATGCTTGTAAATGCACCTGGTTTACTCACAGGTAAGGAAGTAGCAGCAGAGCATAGCAGTAGGGTAAGCTTGTGCCAGCAGTAATGGAGCAAGGGGAAAACACTGAGGTGAAGGTTGGGGAGATGGAAGGGAGGTTAACTCCCCTCCCCGTCTTCCCTACCTTTCTCCTCAGTCAGGATTCCGCTGGGGCTGGGCTGCCTTGTGAAGGCAGAGCCCATGGAGTCCACATAGCACTCCTACCCCACCCCTTTTCTCACAGCTTTCACTCAGAAGCCACAGTGACTTTCCTTTTTTAAATTATTAAATAAAGTAAGTGGTGTATGCATCAACCTAGCATGATATTAGAATTGCACGGTGTCAGTTCAGGAAATATTGTTTTAAAAGATGAAAATGGGGGAGAGGGTTTTTTCCATCCTTCCTTTAAATATCACAGCCCAACTATTATGTCAAAGAGTTGTCACCTCTGATAACGCTGCCTACAGCTCCATTTGGGTGTGAACTAGCTGTCCACAGAGGCTATGCAGCAAGTTAATTAGGAATGCATTGAATCATATATTTTTCTTTTTTTAAAAAACAGAAGCCCCTAGTCCTGTACCAGAAAGGAACAGGACAGCCCTTAAAGGGGCAGGATGCACCAATCTAAGGAGAAACATATGTGGACGATGCAATTTGGTTTGAACCAAACTGTACCAACAGTGAACCAAATACTGATCTCTATCCCCATCTAGACAGGCCTTTAGTTACCTGAGACTCTAAAGTTCTTCCTTTTACCCGTGCTTTCCCATTTAGCTCTTTAGGGTCAGCCTCTTACACCCAAACTTCTATGTAGGAAAATAGATGGACTCCCCATCAGATCACTGGATACAACTATCCTAAACATGACATGTGTGACACACCATATGAGGTTTTGCATCATCAAGCAACAGCCAGTCACCGCTTCACGCTGTATCTACTCGAAGTGACTTACCCCTCTCCCCTCTATGTTAATCTCATGTGACATCCTATAGATAGGTTTGGCACATTTTCGTAGTGCTTTCAATATTAGAGATTAATAACGTGTAAAGCAACTGTGAGGGATTCTTTTTTTTTCCTTTCACAAGCCTTGCTTCCTGACTCCGTTTCCTGTCATTACCTCTATAGTCTTTCATGCCTACTTCAGTCTTCATCTTTTCCAAGTTTATAGGCATGTGTCAGGTGAAGACAATCCGTATGGGTAAATCCTATTTCCTATTTATTTATTAAAGGTACAGAACACCATTCGAAGACCACATTCAGAAGAAATCAATAGTATGTATGAAGATATGGTGCATGAATGCAAACTATATCCACACAAATCCAGATTAATGGAATTTTTATTCAAGTATTCCTATGCATGCCTCCTCTGGCTGAGAAAGCACTCTCTTACTTACAAGCAGAATAAATGTTCTTAAGACCACCCAGATAGGACTAAAGAGGCCCAGCGGTCTGAAAATATTAAATTAGAGCATATTGTTGAATGGCAGAGAGAAAAATTCGCTTGCAACACAGCCCTCCAGATTTAGCACTTAGGTGTTCTATCGTGCTTTGTTAGATTTATTTGATCAATTGTTTTAAAGAGCCATTAAAATACAGGAGTATATCCAGTTTTTTATATTGTTGAATGGCAGAGAAAAAAAAAACCACTTGCAACACAGCCCTCCAGATTTAGCACTTAGGTGTTCTATCGTGCTTTGTTAGATTTATTTGATCTATTGTTTTAAAGACCCATTAAAATACAGGAGTATATCCAGTTTTTTCTATATGGTGATACTCCAAATAACTGAACAAGGCAAGGTCATGGAAAATGGAAGATTTTGTCCCCAGAAATATACTCTCTGTACTATTGAAAAGTGATTAATTGTTAGCTGTAGTGGATATATCTCACAAACAGGAAAGCAATTTATTCACCTTTTTTTGCAGCTCCTGAATATTTGTTTCCCAGTTTTTATCTTCTTGTGAGATTTGTCTGAAATAGAAGTCCACATATAGAGATTCACACTGATAAAAAGAGAAGAGCTATTTCAAAACTGTCATGGAACGGCTGCCGTATATTTTCCAATGAATTACTGTACAAAGCGATTCTGTATCCACTTATGCTTGGTAAAGACATCTGGAAATGAATCCAGCCATTTCATTATAAGCATATTAGGCTATCTACTAAAATCATGTTGCCCCTCCTACAAAAAGGGGGAGGTTTAGTCCCTCAAGTTTTTTACAGGGTATATTAACCCTGCCAGTTAGGGATGTTAGCTATAAACCTTGTTGTCTAGTGTTCCCTCAAAACTTCAGCCAATTTTTAATGCAATTTTCTGACCTAAGCCACAAACCATGAGATTTATGATGCCCTGTACAAGTCTGCACTCCATACAACCAAGTTGGGATTCCAAAGGAGGCTCTACTCAAAAAAAGTAATGGTCGCACCCTCAGAAACTCTGCCTAAACTGTTTTTCAGTCTTTTGCTGGGCAAGCCACAGACCATGAGTTTTGTGTTATCTTCTGGGTACCTAATACATGTACATGGGTAATCTGATAATTACCACCACTCTGGAAACATTTTACAACCATAAGTCAAATCCTAAGGAATCCCAGAAATGTCCCAAAACAAATTAATGCCTGGAGTGTCCAGAGAGAGGCACATGTTTGTTATTTCCTAAGATCAATGTTTATTTGGAGAAAAACATGACGCTTTTTCCTTCTTAGTACCTCACTGGTACTTGCCCCATCTCCAAAAAAATAAGCACTCCCATGGCAAAATTAATAGGCTTCTTAAGATATATATTTTTTTGTCCCAGCTCTTTTTCTTTAAAACTCAGTATGAGCAAGTATGGGTTTCTAGCATAGAAAACAGTTTGATCCAGGGAAGAACATTCAAAGATTTGTTTTAAAAAATCATTTTACTCAGAACTATTCAATAATTAAGGATTCTTGGCGGACCAGTATACTAGTAGATTGCACAAGTTTCCAAAAGAATGCAGATATGTTTCCCTCATGCATGCGTTGCATTTGAAGAGGTTCACTTTTTTTTAATGCTACTTTCTGTGAGTGAGTTTCCTTTTTAAAAAAAATCATGATCCCCAACTTCTATCAATCCACCTAACATATAACGGGACTTTCTCTCCCAGAACAGGATTTCCCTTTTCCTTTTCCAGATAAGATTCATAGGAGACATAGAGGATGCAGGACAGAGGACGAGACTGTTTCACTTCTGAGTGTACATCACTGGATGCAACTGTGTATGTGTATGTAAACCATTTTGATAATCATGATCAGTTTATATACTCACGCTAAACCATTCTGATAATTTTCCCCATCAGCTGACAGGACTTAGGTAAAAGGATAACTGGCTTGGCCTTTACCTATGGAATGTTTTGAGCTTTTTCTTCAGCAAGAGTTCCAGGGTGAAAACCTTTTGCATTAAGAGGCACTTCACAGCTGTTTCTTCTCTGCTGGCAGGATTAATTCGCTGTGCTGTCAGTCTCCAAACATGGATTTCATGTTTCAGTTCTGAGAAGAAATATAATTATCAAGCTGAAAATGAAGACCTGATACATTAAATCAGTTTCCCTAACCATGGCAAAAGCAATGTTAACAGACACACAATGACTTCAGTGACAAAGTTAAACTGCAAGAACTCATAAATTGGTTAATATATCCATTGAGATATTTACAGATGTATGTGTCTGCTAAAGTAAACTGTCTTTATGTTATAGATAACCCAACATTAGAAGAAAGAATTTGATAAATATTGATTTTCACAATGGTGCCTTTTCTCTCCTCCTATGATTTGTAAATTAACTGGCTCTCCATCAAGGGAGGGGGCAGACCCTTCTCAGTCAAATCCAGACTCCAAGAACTGCTGGAAATAGATTTTATTAATGTTGGGGAACAGAGTAGGATTGGGCGCCCACTGCACCCCATCACACCAGTTCGCTGGGGGATGGAGTTGGCTTCGCTAGCCCACCACCAAGTCTAGTCTTTGTTCAAACCAAAGTTCTTATCTCTGGATTTAGGCTGCCAAAAGTTTGTACAGAGGGCTAAGCCTTTAACACAGCCCTGAACCGTCCTACTTCCAACTACTCATTGATGTCCAAGTCTCATGTCCAGAAGTCCTGGACCATTATCACATCCTCTTTCCCCAGGTCAAAGAACACCACATCTATTTCCTCTTTAGCCTCTTCCTCTTCCTACTCCTTCCCATATGAGATTGTCAAGGGAGACAAGTCCTCACAGCCTTTCTCCTTCTCCTTCCTTTTAATCATGTCACACATGGTTTGGACATTGCTAAAGTATGTGAAATGCTTTGAGCCCTCTTTAAAGCCAGGGAAAAGAGTTCACTTCGGTTCTGCCAACTCCAGTCATAACTTAGTAATTGACTTCCAGGTAATCCAGTTCTCTGCGTGACTGATTGCCAACAGAAAATTACCATGCCAATTACCAGATACTCAAAGTACCATGAAGAACATTTATGAAGCTGGAAGAAGTACAATGTGGATATTGTTTTGGGAACTACAGAATACAGCATCTTAAGCACTAATGTGTTATCATAGGCATATGTGCTTCCATATATACAGTAGGACCCATGTATCCACAGGACTGGTATCCACAGTTTCAGTTATCCACAGTTTACTGTAGCCCTATATACAATATACAATGTGCCCCCTTGTGGCCTTTGTCCTACCCCCTTATATTTTGTATACTAGGTTCCTGAACTCCTGGATAGCTCAGTGATTTAGGTATGTGACTGCGGAGCCAGAAGCTGGGAGTTCGATTCCCCATTGTGCCTCCTTAACAGGAACTGGCTTCAATGATCCACAGAATCCTTTCCAGCTCTACAGTTCTAAGAGGATGATTATGATGATTATGATGATTATATCTGCATTTTCAGGCATCCATGATAGACTGTGGAACTCATCCTTCACAGATATAGAGATACTACTGTATACAGTTAATTCTTAATTTTCAATAGTTTAAATATTCATGAAACTATTGTTCACAGATATGCCAATTTTTAAAATTAGTTAGAGAACACTGATATATTGAAATCTTCTGCATCATTTAAGTCCCTTTCTTTCTCTTGGCACCTTATCATTCTGATGTCTGAAAAATTAATGTACAATTTAGTCTACTAACACAGACTTTCTTAGACATCAAATATAATAATTCCATTGCCAATAAACTAAAAATGGTGGCATTTAAATGTCTGGCTTGAATCATAACTGACTTCTGCTTTGTCATTTAGAATCTGCAAATGTATCCAACACACAAAAAGAATTTTCATTTGAGATTTAATATTTAAATCTAAGCAATTAGTTGAAGAAAGGAGCAGGTGCCTGAAAGACATGAGCCAAGAAAAGTGCAATATTGCTGTTGTTGTTGTTGTTACTGCTCTTCTTGCTGCTGTTGTATTCCTTTGACATAATCCCAGTGATTGTTTTAGTCTGTAAACAGATTAGTACATATTTGACTACCGATAAGGACCTACACAAAAAATCCCAGCCATTGTTAGGAATAATGGTATAGTTTCAAAACAGGCTTACCAGAAGCCAACTATACAAGTTTTCAGAAATCACACTATGGCTTTTTAAACTACTATTTTGGCAAATATTCATGAGCATGAGGCATAGAGAATCCAAAGCGTGCAAACGGTCTCTTCCTGTGCTCTGCCAAGCTCATGCCAACAAGAGCAAAAAGCACAAAGGAGTATTCAGATCCTTTCCCAAGATACCTTCCCCAAAACTGGTTTAATAAAAGAGAACTACATAAGCTCCAGGCCTGGCACTAGTTCTCAACCAGCCTTTCAAGGTAGGCATGTAAACAATACATACTGAATTCTTTGTTCTCACCTGTTTTTAGCTCTCTCAACACAACATGACAATATGAACAGAGATTGTCAAGATCTGAGAGATTCCTTGCCTTCAAGTGAGAGCAAGACAGATTAAAATTCAGTAGTACCTCACAACTAGAGTAGACCCATTGAATCAGTTGGGATTTGGTGAGTTCATGCCTCCATAAGTTCCACTGATTCAAATGAGCTGACTCTCTACTGGATTTCAGCCAATAGGTATGTTTATTGCTCCACAAAGTCTCTATAATTGGCACAAAAGATTCCTTGCCTTCAAGTGAGAGCAAGACAGATTAAAATTCAGTAGTACCTCACAACTAGAGTAGACCCATTGAATCAGTTGGGATTTGGTGAGTTCATGCCTCCATAAGTTCCACTGATTCAAATGAGCTGACTCTCTACTGGATTTCAGCCAATAGGTATGTTTATTGCTCCACAAAGTCTCTATAATTGGCACAAACTAATATCCTTGGTGAGTCCATGCCTCAATAAATTCCACTGATTCAAATGAGCTGGCTCTAGTTGTGACTTTCTACTGGATTTCAGCCAATAGGTGTGTTTATTACTCCACAAAGTCTCTATAATTGGCACAAACTAATATCCTTTCTGTGTCCAAAGCAAAACTCACATGGTGTAGCGTTCTCCATTTATTAGATCTATGGTTCTTGTTGTATTATGTAATGGTTTATGAATATTCATGTTGCTGAGAGGCAGAGTCAAGAGAGATGCTATAAGAGGTAGGGTCAGAGAGTAGATTAAGAGAGATTGAGTCATAGAGAAATGTAAGAGTCAGGTAGGAGAGAAAAGCCAGACAGAGTAATAGAGTGTGTAGTTTGGTGAAGCAAAATTCACACGGCAAGCACAAATAGCTGGCTATTTATTTTTAAAAGGTGCAAAGAACTTTTCCAGTGCTCTAATCCTTAAAAGTCCATGCAACAAACCATTGCCATTTTTCATTATTAGCTTTAAAGCATTGTTTTCTGTGATTTTGTTTCATTTGTGAAAAAACTTCTGTTCTTCTGTCAAGACCACCATAAAATGCCTCAACTTCCCATGAGGCAAGACAAATAATTCTGTGGCTTCTCATTTTTGCATGTGAGTATTAGACAAATCAGGATTTATATATACCCCATGTCAGAAGAACCGGTGAAGTGAGGATCTTGGCAATCCAATCCTTCCACCCAGTTTACAGCAAGCCCCACTAGAGCCGTCTCTGAGCCCATGCACGGCAAGCACAAATAGCTGATTATTTATTTTTAAATGGTGCAAAAAACTTTTCCAGTGCTTCTAATCCTTAAAAGTACATGCAACAAACCATTGCCATTTTTCATTATTAGCTTTAAAGCATTGTTTTCTGTGATTTTGTTTCATTTGTGAAAAAACTTCTGTTCTTCTGTCAAGACCACCATAAAATGCCTCAACTTCTCATGAGGCAAGACAAATAATTTTATGGCTTCTCATTTTTGCATGTACTGTATTAGACACATCATGATTTTTATATACCCCATGTCAGAAGAACAGGTGAAGTGAGGATCTTGCGATCCAACCCTTCCACCCAGTTCACAGCAAGCCCCACTAGAGCCGTCTCTGAGGTTAAAGCACTGTGCGAGGAGAAGCAAAGGGGGCACTCAGAATGGAAGCGTTTCCTGAGTATGGAATTGACTCAGCTAGGCTTTTCTCCCAGCGTTCTCTTAGCAATGGGCTAAGCAAATGCTAAAGCAGCCATAAAACAAAGAATCCAGGATATGAAACTACAAGAACACATAGGCTTGCTGGACAAACTCTGTGCAGTACGAAATGGAAACCTTTAAACCTCCTGTCTATCTGTCCAATTTAACACTCCCAAAGTTTAGAAGAGTCATGAGGCAAGACAAATAATTTTATGGCTTCTCATTTTTGCATGTACTGTATTAGACACATCATGATTTTTATATACCCCATGTCAGAAGAACAGGTGAAGTGAGGATCTTGCGATCCAACCCTTCCACCCAGTTCACAGCAAGCCCCACTAGAGCCGTCTCTGAGGTTAAAGCACTGTGCGAGGAGAAGCAAAGGGGGCACTTGTGAGAGTACTCAGAATGGAAGCGTTTCCTGAGTATGGAATTGACTCAGATAGGCTTTTCTCCCAGCGTTCTCTTAGCAATGGGTTACGCAAATGCTAAAGCAGCCATAAAACAAAGAATCCAGGATATGAAACTACAAGAACACATAGGCTCTGTGCAGTACGAAATGGAAACCTTTAAACCTCCTGTCTATCTGTCCAATTTAACACTCCCAAAGTTTAGAAGAGCCTTTACTCTAGCGAGATTCAATCTCCTGCCCTCTGAAGATGCCGGCCACAGAGACTGGCAAAATGTTAGGAAGAACAACCTTCAGAACATAATACTCACACCTTCGAACTGCATGGCAGTAACTTAAAAGCAATACACTGGAAATAATTTTGAATTGTATTTGTTATTATTTCTCTAGTATATTGCAAGGCACAAATGCTTCTTCTCCCTCATTTATCCTCACTGGCTGGATAGCTCAGTGAGTTAGGTATCTGGCAGCAAAACCAGAGGTTGTGAGTTCAGTTTCCCACTGTGCATCCAAGAGCCAGTTGTGCATCCAAAAGCCAGTTCCCCACTGTAGCTGTGGCGTTCGCCCCTCATGCCCCTTGCCT